CTGCGACTGCTGGTTGTTGTCGTCGCCCAGGGGTTGTTGCTACCAGCTTGAGGGAACGGGTCTGCGCCACAGGCGACTGTGTCTGTTGCTGGTAAGGGTTAAACCCTGTGGGCTGAGGCTGGAATGCTGGCATGCCGGTAGGCTGCTGCTGCTGCTGCTGCTGCTGCTGGCCGAACGGATCCAACGAAGTCATCTGGGGCTGCATGCCATATCCACCATAGCCATTCTGGAAGCCCGTCTGCTGCTGCTGTTGCGGAAAGCCAGTATATTGGTTGCCGAGGTAGCCGGTGGGCTGGGGCTGCTGCGCGTTCTGGTCAATGGGGTTGGCGAAGAAGTCGACTGCGCTGCCCTGCTGATAGCCCTGGTTGAAGCCGGTGAACTGTGGTTGGGCGGGCTGTGACTGCTGCGTGCTCTGCGTGGGTGTGTCGTCAAAGAGGGATATCGCGTTGCTCTGCTCGAGCTCCCGTCGTCTCCGCTCCTCCTCCTCCTGACTGAGCTTGATGGCCTTGGCCAGATCATCGTCGTCGACGTCGACTTGGCCCTGGTTGCGCCTCTTGCGGTCCTCCTCCTCCTGGTACTTGCTGGCCTCGATAGCGAGCCTGTACTCGGCGTCGTCCTCGTCGTCGCGGCGCGCTCGGGGCTCTCTTCCTCCCCGGTGCGAGGGCCCAGCTTGATGAGGCGCGTATTCTTCGAGGCCAGTCACGCGGGACTTCCACGACTTTCGGTCGCTGCGCTCGGCGCGCAGTCTCTCTTCGTCGAGGACGAGGGATGTAAGCTCCTTCGCGGCGACGCGTACTAGCCAGAATGTTAGCTAATGCGGCCCAATGGTAGCATAAGGGGATGCGCCGGGGCGCAGGAAGTCCCATGTGTACCATTCTGACCCACGTCCCTGCCGTCATCGTCGATATACTGGAATTCGCGCAGCGTCTTGATAATGTAGATACTCTCGCGGGCCCACGTCACGACGAGTTCGGAGCCCTCGTGCAGGCAGTAATCGAGGACCTTGAGGGCCTTGAGCACGTGCCTCCAGTTCTTGCCCTTGTCGTTCATGCGCTTGTCGAGCATGTCCATAATCTCGTAGAACTCATTGGATCTGTGTTGTATGGTCAGCCAGGTGCCCTAGCGGTTCGCGCATGCGCTGCGGCGCTTGCACACGTACGATGCAAAGGTCAGCTGGGCAATCTCGCTCATCTGCGTCCCCGTGGGACCCCATGGGTCATTGCTCGTTGCTGGAAGCGGTGTCCGTCAGTACAAGGGTGGCGAGACGGCCGGCGACAGAGGACGAGGCACAAACCTTCTCGAACCTTCACCTGGGCGCTGGAGTACCCCTTGGTGACGTTCTTGACGCTGCGAATAACCTTGGACATGCTGGGCGACTGGTGCGATGCTGTAGTAGGCTGCTGCGTTTGGGGCCGGTTTATGGATGTTTTGGGCTGTCGCAACGAGGAACAGCGAAGGTGAGGAGGTGGAGGAGAAGGGGGGCGAGGGAGCCAAGCTCCGTTCGGGGCGACGGACGACGAGCTCGTGAAGCAACCGCGGCTGCCTGACCAGACAGCAGGAGGACGGGGAACGGAATGCAAGCGGTGGCGAGGTGCTGTAGATAGACGTGACAAGATAGGTTGCGCGGTAGAAAGTCGGACGTGTTGGGTAGGACACGGGTTGGGTTGGGTTTGTCGGAGATGAGGGTGCGGGCGGGTGTGCCGAGATGATATGGTGCGGTGAATACCTCAAGGTACGATTAGCTCTCGAACCGGCGCAGGCGGCGGCGACGGCAGCAGGCGGGGCGGTGATACCTAGGCGATGCGATGGAAATCGAGGTTGGCGCAGAGGGCACGAACAGACGAAGAGGTTGCAGGTTGATGCGGCAGAGGCCACGCGGTTAGACGATCAGGTCGGAACCGTCGCAGTGGGCGGCGAAGGGTACGTAATGTGGATGAGCGGGAGCAGATGAGTCGTCGTCGACCAGCAGCAGCAACCAAGGTTTGTAGGTGGTCGAGGCGGGGGCAAGCAAGACGGTAATGGTGGGTTGGGTGGTAGGGGGTCTGTGAGGCTGTGCCTGTTGCCGGGATGGGCCTGAACGGGGCGCGAGATGACCTAGACAACCCCCTTTGGACAGATGGATGGGATGCTGCTGGTCTTGTGTGGGATGGTTCGGGATGATTCTTTTGGAGGAAGGGCCACAGTTTCGGGGCAATGTGAAAGGAAGTACCGCGAGAGGTGACGGCTGATGGTGATTGCACAGGCGTGCGCTGATTCAAGGCCCATGAGGTGCCTCTACTTGGGTACCTAGGGTACCTACCTACCTAGGTACCTAGGTAGGTCAG